CCCCCCCCCAAAAAAAAAAAACTTAAGAGTATCTGCTTCAATACTTTGAGTTTACTCATTTTAAATACTGTTGATTCTTGTTCTTTTTCTCTTGATTCAGGCATTACACTAACTGTCCAAATAAAAAAGTTGTACATAAAACAGTTAAAGGGAAGTGCTCCTGGATATTTTATTTAATGCAAATTGCTTTCAGCAAAGATAAGCAATATAGTCACCTAAGGCAAAAGATAATCACCTCATGAAGTGTCAGAAGATAACTTCCTATCAGCCTATAGTAGGATTTTCCATACTTCTGATAGTTGGATGCCCATTTTTACAGGAAAAAGACTAGCCACCCTACCTATCTTGGATGATAAATCTTTTAAACTAATACCTTTAGTCACCTCCACATACGTACCGTGTTCTTCATTGATTCAGGCAGACTTCAAATCAACAATACTCAATTTGCATATTTCGTATAATAATAATTACTTCAATTAATGTTTTACTAAACATTTAGATTTTGGAAACAATTACATATTCTGTTGGACCCTTCCCACAGCTGGCCTCTCCTATTCCCATTGGGTGGTGCCCCACACTTTGGAAACGCTGGACTACAGAATGAAGGCTTGTCTCTTGGCTATCTGGGATCACGGCCTCAAAGAAGATCTCACATTTTTAGCATTAGACACACTGTTAAATATATCATCCCAACAGCATTATCACTCAATATAGATGTTTTCTCCAATCTGGCTCCAGCAGCAGGCACCCATCGCTGAATCTAGTGACTGCTGTACTTTGTAATACCATTCAGAAGATCAACCAGCAGAATGAAGGCTAAAAGACAAACATCCAAATCTGAGCTGCTCATGCAACCTCCTTCTACAACCACTGGAGAGATGCCAGCATTTCGCTCCTCTAAAGACAGGCATCTACAACAGGTCAGAAGAACTGCCCTCCAGACCTATTTCTTTCTTTTCTGAATACAAAGGGATCGAACACAAGGTGATTAGCTCAGAGTAAGCAATCACACCTTTTGACACACAAAGTTAAGTGAGATGAATCTCATCTGAAATGGTTATGAAAAACTCCACAGGCCCTTGGAGGAGGGCTTTGTCAGAAGCAAAGGAAGAAATGGATAACATGTTATACCTGCTATACAAACACACTGTATAACAGAGACTGCTGCTCAGAGTAATTCGTAAGATGGAAAAAGAAATTCTGCTCGAGAACAAATGTTAGGTTTTTCAGGATGTAAATGCATGTAAAATACAAAGCAAATTCACTTACATCACTTGCAAAGGTGGATGCAATCTGTGCTTGCTTGAAGGAAGCACTGTCAAGAGGATTGTACTGGTGGCTCTTCATTTCCTTCCTGAACTGCTCTTTGTATTTCACCTTCCACCAGAACAAACATATCTAATATTAACATGTAGCACTTAAAGAAGGCACAGAGAATTCAGACTACAAAGGAACTTATTAAAGGCAATTGCCTTATCCATAAATCTTTAAACAATGAAGATATTTAAAGCAGCTCAGTATAGCCACACCTGTGACTGTCTTGTGCTGGTTTCAAAGTAATTTTTATGTATCTGAATTTCACTAAAATAAAAAAATAATTTTAAGATCGTCATATGCAATTACTGGTGCTGAAGGATTTGTAAAAAGGAAACAGAAACAAAACCATATGACTCACCTGAGTAATCAAATAAACCAGAACTGTTTGACTAGCAATAATAATCTACTCGCTGAGAATCATTCAATTCATAATTAACATCAAAAATCCATTTTTAAACGAAAAAACAATTTATAAGATAAGTAAATTGTAAAACTTGTAAAATAAATCACTTTTAAATTTTTCAACCACTTGAAAGTGGGAAGTCAGAATCAAACTTCCCACTCGGCCGACTTCCCACCTCCAGGTGCATGTGTCACTCGCACTGTGCGAGGCTGTCACCAGCACCCCCAGGTCTACTGTTAATTCTGCCAGAAATTTCCCATGAGACCCCAGGGAATCTCTCTGTAGTACAGTCCCTTCTTGGGGACAATGCCCACCTCATTACAGTGTTACAAAGCATAATTAAATGACTGTCTGCCATCACTTTCACTCTCTTTTCTTCTTGTTCAAAAGATAAAGGGGGAACGGCAAGAGGATATGAGCAATACATAAATGTTGAGGCAATGGCATTAGAAGTCAATAAATCACAAAAATTCCATAAAACATGCTGCAGAACTGAATTCAGAATCTGAAAATATGAAATCAAACAAATAGTAAATCTCCCTCCTTTGCCCCCCTTGTTGTGCATGATCATCAAACATCTGGAGACTTTGCACACATGCCTTGCTTCTTTCCAACAGCTGGGCATAATGGAGGAGAATAAAGTTCAGTCTGAATTATGCTGCTTTCATGAATGTTAGTCAGACACCTGATATCTGAGCCTATGCAACGTCCATTATAATTTACCACGCTCTGCATTAAATAAATAGGCGGCTTTTTCCTTACTTCTTTTTACTCTGTTCCCACATGAATGTCTGATAGAGTGGTTAAACCACCTCAAACAATCTCCTTCAAAAATTATTTTTTTCTCAGCTTTAGTTGTGGGAAGAATTTTCCTTCTCCTTTTTAGTTCTTCCTTGCCTCAAAAGACTCTCAACATGGTTTAGCTTACACAACCTCGTTATGTTTAGCCACAATGCCCAATATTTCATTAATCAGGATAACAAGAAACCAAAACTAAGCCACCCAAACAGAAACTAACCTTATATGTTCAAGAACTACATTATGATTCCAGCACTTACGTTAATTTTTCAAAGGAAGGAAATTCTAAAACATTGTTACTTTTAAAGAGTAACTTTATCTGAACACAAGATGAACTTCATAATCTTTCACATTAACTCTAGAAAAGAAAATCTATTGCCTTCTGGTAGATTCATCTGGTTCATATTGTTTGATATTTGCCTTGGCTTTGGATCAAGTGCAAAAGCATATATCTGAATACAAAGACACTGCCTTTGTCAAAGGCAAACCCACATTCTGTACGAGCAGTGGAGGAATAAATCAGAGGGCTTTTCTCTTTTAAAAGGTGTATCTAAGACTTGCCTTCTGATAAAAATCAGGCAGCGCTGGAATATGTGATTCAAAGAGCCTCCAAAACCGGGGATCGAGTCAGCATGGTGAGCAAAATTGTCTTTTACTCCTTGGGCACCAGCTCACATCATAACAACTTCGTGCACAAGAGTTTAAATATCCAGCTACTGCAGGCTGTCTTCTGCCCTGCCAACAAACAGCCTCAAACTGCGCACGTGGACCAAATCCACAACATGGTCCTTGATATTCTTGTCAAGTGTGAAAACGTCAGTGCCAAAGGGACCTCTCCTCACAACTGGCTTTCCATCTTCCAGCTGCAACCGTTTCATGCCATTTTTTAAAAGATTTTTTTTTAGCAATCCAATTCAATCTAGAGATTCCAGTAACAAATCCTCATTAGTGTCACTTCAGATCACATCACTGCTACTGAAGGAAAGAGGGGGAGGCCAGTGAACCCAGTCTTCACAGGGCTGTGTGTCCTGATGCCCATGTGCAGGAGGGTCCCAAATTTAAGGAGACTGCCCACGAATACAACTGTAAACGTTCCCATTGCAGTGAGGGATGTCTCGGTACCTCTAGGCCCTGCTGCCTCGTCTGGCTGCTCTGCTTATTGCCTTCGCTCTCCTCCGCAACACCACTGCACATGTCGCTCTGGGGCAAAATGGAGGCTGCACAATAATATCAGATGACCCTGGCAGTATCTCAAGAGCACTTCCAGCAGTAATTTAACTCTGACTTGTCATAGGGGATTCATCTCATTGAAAGCTACACACACATTCACTTTCTCTTTTATCGGTATTTTCCTGCTTCCCTCTCCCTTTTAAAAGAAAGCGTGGGGTGGGAGAGGGAGAAGAGAGAAGAGCAAGCCCATGGATGAGTCACTGTGAAACAACGCACACGGTATTTATCCTTCTTTTGAATAGGAGAAAGTTATGAATGCAGTTTAAAGGGGAAAAATACGCCCGAGAGCATTCTGATTAAAAACAAGGAAGAAAAACACTGCATCAGTGTTTTCTAAAACATCTGAAGGGGGGAGGTCTTAGCAATGCTATAACATGATGGAAGAGCAAACAAAAAGTGGGAGTAGAAATGACAGTTGTTAGTGGAAGCTTATCTACAAATTTCATCGTTAACTAAAAGCTTTACTTTAATGAGGGTTTAAAACGATGGCTACTTATTTACCATCTTAATTAAAGTCTTAAGTTTGTTTATTTTTTTAGAGAGTATGTAGTGGGGGTTAATTTAACAGAAATGTGTGTAGGCTGTTCTCTAATTGTTGCTGAAGAAAAAGCAGATTTTGCAGACTTTTAACACAATATCAACCCTGAAAAACCAAACTGGAATTAAGTAAGGCCTGGTTAAACAAACTTCTCATCGGCCTTGCACAAAACCTATAAAAGTCAGAACTGCAGCTGGACAGAGCAGTGTCTTTTGAAGCTTTGCAGCAACATTCCTAAATCAAATCTGTAGTTCAAAGCTGTTCACACAGGGAGTGTTCAGTTTCAGAAGTGGATGACATCACTCACTGTTCAGATTTACAAAGAAACTACAAAAACTGAATCATTCAACCACTGGGATCCCAGGATGAAGCAGACACTTGACATTCCTCATGACCATATGAAAACATATTAAAAAAAAAAAAAAACCTGTCAGAGCACATAAGATATTGAAGGAAATGTAACATAAACAAAGAGCTAAATTAAAATATTGGTTGCTAAAAGCACTAGCAGAGTTTAAAGCAAAGACAGACTGAGAAAATCCTAGGCTTTTTGTGTTGTTACTGATAATCTCAGAGAAGGTACATTTTGAAAAACATTTTACCCTCTAACAATTTTATCTCTGAAACAATAAGCACCAGATCCAGCAAAAAATACGAATATCCAAAATTATTCATCATAAAACCAATTATTGAGCACCATAAGGGGAACACTTCATATCAGCAGCTCTTTGAAAAAGCTAATAAAATGCATTAGAAGACATAAAGAAGACAAAAACAAGAGCTTGTTTTCATAAAAAATACAAAAAATAACCCAAATTATACAATGTACATTCAGCAAATTGACAAGCTTCATGTTTTCACAAGGGCTAACACAGTTTCTGTTTTAAATTTGGTTTAAAATCAACAGAAAAGGGCTACCGCACGCTGTGGGTAAATATACTAGTCCTGGGAGCTATTATTTTTGCTGCTGCTGTTGTCAAAAGCTTTGCTAAATAAAATAAAATTTTAAAAAGCAAAAAAGGAAAGGGGGGGGGGGGGGGGGGTACACTGATCCTGTAGAGCCTTGAGTGCCAGTCAAACATTAACACTATTTTCTTCACTTTGTTTGCCTTCCCGCTTGCCTTGATTGCTTTCTCCCTTCGTTACACCCACACTGCCTGACCTCTTCTTGCTCCTGTTCTCTATACTCCCTAAATTACCTACCCATATGCACCACATTAAAACATGTTATCATCTTCTCTTCCCATTACATCCATCAGAATTGTCAACTTTGCAAATTTACTGTGAGGGTCAAATAACTAATATTTCTCTGCATGTCGCAGCTTATAGATTCATGCTATTAAGGGAGATTATCAACTTTCAGCACAAAAAAGTTTAAAATGCTCCCATTTGCTGAGAAACAAATGGAAACCCTAAAAGCCAGAAAGTCTGGAGACAATAAAGAGATCATTAATTTTACTATTTTTTAAATCTTCTAATTGTTACAAGCCTGCTTCACGATCCTTGCATGAAGAGGACTTGACATGGCTGACCCACATTTAGGGCTCTTCCTCTCCTACAGCACAGGTGCATTCCTCATCCTGCCCCACCACCCTGCTCTTTGGACACAGGGGTCATCTTCATTTTTCTGTGCTCTTGATTTATGATCAGTGTGTCTAAGTGTTATGATGATCCAAATAATATATAAAAACATTAGACAACTCATGGCCACTGCCTTTCCTTCAGAGGAGGTGGGGAATTGCTGAGTGCACCTCCCCACTGCTGAAAGCAGCCTGGTATTTACAGCCTCCATGCTGCTGTACGCAGATGGCTGGCAGCGGAGTGTCAGGCTGAAGCATTGCCTCCCTTTCTAAAAGTACATGGCCCATCACACACACTGCAAGCAGCCACAAAGCGTAGACTGAGGAGAGGACGAGAGAAGGAAGGATCCGAAAACCTGGATCCAGGCCCAGTGGCTGCAGAGTTTGGACCACCAACGTTTAGTAAGAATCTTCTTTACAAATAAACTGTAAGCAAGCTACATTTTGTCAACTGCTCCTCTCTTCCTGCCACACCTTCTGCACTATTTGGACTCTCTAAGGAAGTTAAAATTGTACACGAACGCTCTCTTCTCCAGAAGGATCTCAACTGGAACTGTTGCCATCCCAGTCCCTGGCAGTGAAGAGACTCTATTATAAAGCTTTTGCAGATGCAGCATGCACTGTCCAAGAGGAAGAGCACATTTAATAAAAATGAGATAGAAAGTACATTGATGAAGCCGATGATGCAGCTGGCTCTGCACCAGCCTGCAGGACCCCATGATCCAGCTGGTATTTCTTGATTGTTGCGATTGTTGGCCACAACCTCAGGGGTACCAGGCTTAGTGAGATGGAGAGGCCTGTTGGAAAGGAATCCGCTTTGCGACGACAGGCAGCTGTAAGCCACTAGATTCTGAAATAGGTTGCAAGGAAAGGAGCGTGTATACAGCCACTGAGTAGAAATAAAGGATACCATACACTAAATTTAGATATAAACCCTTTTAAAAACCTCTAAAGATGTTTGCTAAATGACAGACAGCTCCCTTTCCTATAAGTGACAGCAGCATAGCACTAGCTCTTCCTCAAAAGCACAGGTTGACTTCCAAGCCTGCACGATGCTAAACACAAAAGAATCTCTGAGCAGACTTGCCCGTCAGCAGAGGAATGAGCACATGATCCATTACATTTGGAAAACACAAACTAATTTTGATTCTGAACACATCATTAACAAAGCAATTAAAAAAATGTGTTTTCTTCTTTTTTCCTTTGTGCAGTATTAATGCTTCAAAGTTAATGATGGTCCAGTGTGAAACAGGAAATCATGTAGCAGATATCTAAGGACAACATCTGGTGACAGCAAAAGGAGCTCGACCTCTTGCAAGCAGACACTGCACTGTTTTGCAGCTTGTTCTCTATGACATATCATTCTCATTTTATCCTAGTTCTAGGGAATATGTTTACTATCTAGCCAAATCTCATTTGTTACACAACACTGATTTTCAGACTGTTCTAGTGTATACACTACTACACTTGGGGGTTTTTTCCTAGTTCTTGGAAGACTGACACGGCCGCCTCCAATCAAAGGGCGTTATCCTCCTCCTACAGGAGGGCAGAATTTGTTCCTGGGTTTACAAAAGCTCTGAGTGTAGCCTGACAGGATTACTAGCGAGGATTATGCAAGGCACTGTTAAAGAACTACTCCAGAAAAAAGAAAAAAAAAAAAAGGAAAAAAAAAAACAGGTCAGCAGTTAAAAATCCCTTCTCATGATGTCAGGCTGATCTGTAGTAGAGTCTTATGAGTAGATCTTATGAGTAGAAGACTCATAAGGGGAAAAGAGGGAGTATTTGTGTTTTCAGCTTTCTTTTTAGTTATGGACTAAAGTAATCCCTCCATTTTTCTTCTTTTTTTTTTTTCCTTTTTTTTCTTTCTTTTTTTTCTTTTTTTTCTTTCTTTTTTTCTTTTTTTTTTTTTATTTTTTGAGGTTAATATATAACAGAAAATAGTACATAAAAGGTTCAGTTTCAGGGGGAGGGAAGACAGGTGGTTTACATGTCAGGCCAAATTCAGATCCCATTACTCACATTAGCAAGCAGTTACACAAAAGACCCCAGTTACTTCAGTGGGATTAATCACAGGGTAAGGTTCCACTCAAACTGAATGAGTAGCAAAATTTGCCTCTAAGTTACATACAGTTAATATTTTAGAAATCCTAGATAATCTGTATAAATATACACCATCTCCACAAAAGACAAGTTGTAACAGTCAAAGTTCATTGTATTTTTTGCATAAAAATGTATATTGTTTCCTAGGAATCTTAAATTTACCAGTCATTGCAATACTGTATGAAAAGAGTTTGAGAACATAATCTTCATGCAATTAGAGATAATCATCTAAAAATCTAAATATTTTCTTGCATTATTAGGAACAAGAGATCTGAATGAAGTCATTGTAAAATGACAGAGAATCTTACTTGGCTTAACAGTTTTGAAACTCCTTTAGCATGTTCAAAATCTGGTCTTCCAAGTACAGCAGGCTCCTTATTCATCTCTCCCCTTCCTTTCTTGTATTCAGCCTTAAAAAAATGAGTATGGATCACTATTAAATTGTTTGGTTTTGTTTTATCAAGAGAAATGTAAGCATTAAAGCTAGTAGAAAAAACCTCATTTATTGATCTGCATTGACACTACTTTCAGTGCTGTTCTAATCAGCTCCAAAAAAAGCCCTACTCAGGCTTCAGCTCCTTAACAACGTAATATTTATTTATTGTAACACACAATGCACAGCATTCACAAAATTCAACTTTAACCAAATGCATAGCTTAAGCCTGAGAAATATTGTTCTCCCAATCAAGGCAGAATGAGTTACAGTGGCTCAGCATTTCTTATGACAGGGTCTGCAGTTTACACAAGATTATCCGTAGCAGCTGAAACTAGTCTTGAAACAAAACTAGGCTGAGGGGCAGCTTTTTTGAAATGTAAGGTCAAATTCCACCCCCAGTTTTACCACTGCAATCTTGCGGCATGTCAGTGAGGTTGCATTGGTGTAACAGAGCGGAATTAGTCCCACAGGGCTGGTATTACGTGATCTTTCCAGCTGAACTGCCTCCCATGCAAATTGCTGCAATTTTTTTCCACAATGCATCAGAAAAACAGCACAGATGAATTGACAATAGGTGCTTTGCGATATCACAAACTAAATTACCCATTGCCTAAAACAGGCTTCTTGCATTACTCAGGCACTGTGAATCAGCAAGGACACGTCATAACAACAGACTGAGAGAAATAAAAGTCCCAAAGCCACTGTAACTCAAAGGGGGCTTGAACAGAAATTAATAAATTTGGGTGTTGAACGTAAGACTTAGTAGAAGTTCTTGGTTTTCAGAAAATCCTGCATATTCAAAAGGTGACTCTCAGGTCTTTTAAAACTGTCTCTCCATAGGTGCCTAGTCAGCCTCACATGAAACTATTAGCGGTTACTTAAAATCTTGGCTCAGGACTTTTAATATATATACATTGTTTGAGTTGTCTACAATAAAATATTAAACTGCATCACACATTGCTGCTTCTCAAATGGCTCCTTGACCTATCCATTAGCAGATGTCACGGTGGGAGGGAAAAGAATTTGAGAGGGGAGTTCGGGGAGGAGAGCCCCCATGCAAGAGGCGGCGTGTTTGCACAGCTCTCAGAAGGACAGCGGGGAATTGCATTTCCCTGTCGCTGCTGGCCAAGATGGGAGGAGGAAGGGGAGTCCTGGGATGCGAGCTTCTCTTGTACTGAGGTGAAAAAAGGCTTGGTATGTCTTCTGAAGTGCAGTATAGCATATGAGCATATGACTTATTTTGAGACTGGTTATCATGAATAAAGCTGAAACAAAACAACTTTAGTAAGCTTAACGCTGTCTTTAGATCAATGACCAATAATTGCAAAGGTCATACTGTCAACGTCAAAACAGAAGAAACCCATAACTTTGTAACATACTAGGCAAGGGGGGGGGGGGTTTGTTGGATTTTGAGGGGTTTTTTTAATCAAACCTCCATATCGTATTTGGGGTTGCAGGTTTTCTGCTCGTGATGTTTGAGAATTTCAGCAGCATTCTAAACAATCTGACTGAAATTGGAATAAATAAAATAACATGTCTAAAAAATACAAATAGAGTAACAGGAGAACGTACATCACTTATTATCTTTGTTATCTCAGTTGCTATCTTTATGTCTGGCCTGTTCAGCACTTCAGTGTATCTATGAGTATCTTGCACATCCTTCTTATAGGATACCTGTCAAACAGAAAACAGTTTTGTTTAAAACAAACACACAAAAATGTTTTAAGTTTATAAATAATCTTTGAATGACCTATCAACTCAGCCATCAAATTCAATAGAACTCTGCCTAATTTATTCCAACACAGTCCTGCTTGACAGGGATTATTTAGTAAGACCACACACAGGTTAACAGGATAAGGAAGAAATTCAGAAGCATAAAATACAATATTAAAATGAAAAATGGTTTTGCTTAGAAGCGTAGAAGAAAATGAAAGCACTGCAAAGACCCAAATATTAGGTTTTATCATTAAATTTTAGAGGATTTCTAAGAGTACAGCATTTTTTTCTATGCTGTACCCTTTTTTAGTATAAACTACCCCCACTCTGATACTGAGCACCGCAGCCTAGCAGATTGCAGCTACGCTGAACAGAAACTGTAATTCTACCATGGTGAACGTCTTTCTCAGTAACAGGGAGCCACGTAGCTGGTATGTAATTCAATGACACAACTCCACCCCAGCATCCCCCACCCCACGCAACTCCACTTATCTGCTCCTTTACACAATCATGGGAACAAGAAGGCTGAGTGTTCCAGCATGTGGAGTACAAGACTGAATCTTTCTGTTTGTGCAAAAGCCACTACTATAATGAATGGGCTCAGAAAACTTTGGCCAGAAGGCTAAACCACAGGTAGGAGACTCCAAACATTCTCCATTTAGCAAAGCAATCACAGGAACAGCATAGACCTTAGGGACGTTACAGAGCTCCGAGACCACAAGTTATCCTTCTTCTCCCTCTCCCTCTTCTCCCTCCCAGGGTCTGCAGATTTTTACTCTCCCTTGCTGTAGCACATGTGCCAATCTAAGCCCACTTCCAAGAGCTGTCTTACTGAATTATTCCGAATGATTAAGAAAATCGTCCCTGGTATTCAAAAGTGTCTGAGAAACTGAAGCTTCAAGCAAAAGTTAGAAAACATAAAATAAAGGCTACAGGAAACAGAAAGTATCAGAATAATTCCTGCTTTCATGGACAGCCTTTTAGATTTTCTTCTGTTGTTTAATAAAGTTAATCAACCTCTCAAGATTGTATTTCACCATCAAGAAAGTTCTCAGCTTGAAGCTTCACTTATAACCTCCACATCTAGCTCCTATTTCCAATGTAAAGTTTTACTCTGGGTACAATGCAACAAACTCATAAACTGCAGCACCCAACGACAAATATAATTTGTAGAAATGTTATTGTAAAAAGAAAAGAAAAAATATCTTACTTTTTGGCAAATTTTTACAGGCAACAGGAAAGTAATTTTGCGTCCATATGGCTTCAGCTAAGTAGACAAGCTAAATAGACTTCACTGTTGGCCACCTGCCCACAAATAGATCTTATAATTTTTAACCTACAATGAGTGACACACAAGTGTAATCACCGATAAAATAAGTAAATAAATAGGGTGGATGAATACAGCCCAAAGTATCACCTACCAAGAAAACAGAAACTGTTTCTTACAGCTTGTTAAAACCACTAGAAGTTTTGTTTTGGTTAGATTTAGATTTCCTCTATTTTTTTAAGAAACTAGATGTACAGACAAGCATTTGCAATCCAGGGCTTTACATGAATTTAGTTAATTATATACTGTTCATCCTAATGACCACATGAGGTGAGGTGAAAACCACAAAGGCAGCAGAAACAGGTTTCTGAATAGCACCCTATCATCCATGTAAATTGCAAATTAAAGGCCAGCATATGTGCTCAAAATAGAAATTAGGAATGGAGCGAATTTAACAACAGAGAATCAAGAATAGTGGTGATAAAGTTGAGGAAATGTGGTCACTTATTGCTCCCAAATGACATGATCATATAGTACATGAAATAATGGATTGTGGTTAATTTCAGGGGGGAAGGGGGGGAAATAAGACAGTGACAGTCCTTTATATTTCACCATTTTCAATTATATTAGATGCAAGGCCAATTGCTATAGCTTTCCCTGAGTGAATTATTATTCTTCCTGCACCTAAACCAGTATACCTATTACTTATGTCTGAGGGAAAGTCATCTAGCATTTTACAAATGTCTGCAATATATATTTGCTCCATTCTGCAGCTTGTCATACTCCGGTGAGAATAAAAATGTTATGCAGCAGAACAGTAGTTTGTCAGAGGTAGGCCAAAGAAAGAAAAAATATGTTTCCCATTTCCTGAATAACCTCAATCCCTGGATGCTGACCCTTTCCCATTGGGATGGTGTGCTGGCCTCTATTACACAGCTGCTATTCTGTTCCATCTAGTGATTTTTTTTTTTAATAGTGCTATGTTAGAACAGTAAAACCAGAGCTGTTCTGGGAGAGCAGGGGAACAGATGTAGGCAAGGCAAAGCAACCAGCCTGGGGTATGCACCCATGGGCACCGAGAAGATGGAAAGTGGAGAAGCCTACGAGAGGGGAAACGAAGCCTGGTCAAGCAACAAAAGAAAGGAAACATCAGAAGCACCCAGGGAAGGGGACATCTTTTCTCCCGAGTTGGTTCAGCCCCTTACCAGGAGGCTCAAACCCTAACTGGAACCTCCAGGCATTACACGATGCCCTCAATCTTCACTTCAAAGGATTGCTCAGGCTCTACCAAAAAACATCACAAAAGGCTCAAGAATTACTCCTTTTTACGAGGACCACAGGTCTACGAAACATCTGCACAAACTGGCCTTTTCATAGGAAAAAGTAACCGAGATACTGACAACTTAAGAGCACAGTGAAAGATCTAAATGGAGAGTTACAGCAGACCAGTGGGAAATGCGAGCAAGAAAGAAGCTGGGACAAAAAGGGGAAAATATTGTACCATCTCTAGTTTTGAAGTTGCAGATAGTAAGTTACAAATATTAACTAAATTTGAAGTGTTTTTCAACCCTAATTTGAAGTTACAATAAAAAGTGGTTACATTGTTGAATATTTTTAAAGAACAACAATGATCTGAACAAAAGCCATTTCTCATCTTTAATCCCAAATGTGATACATACTCTGAATTGCCAGTAGTTTTTGCAAAGCACGGAAAATATTCCGGGCTTGCTCGTAATTAGTAGACTAACTGTAATAGAGCCAAACCTCCAGCTCTTACAAAAAGGCATAAGGTCCACTGAGGATAAAGATGACGGTCTATTTACTCCAGCTGAGGGTCCTGAAGATGCTCCACCTTTCATCATGGTGCCAGTGCACTGGAATGCACTACAATGCTGCAAAGTAGACAGATTTCTAACAAGGCTGCAAAACGTCTCAGGTTGTCAATCAAACAACGGAAACTTCTGCTACGTGGTGACCCAATCACACCTAGGTTTAAAGGACTCAGACCTTTCCTGCAGTCTTTTGTCTTCTCCCCTATTCCAATTCCAAAACTATTCCAAGCTATAGGTAATAAATTATTAAAATATGCAAAGCAGCTATAAACACATTTTGCCCTCTTGAGATGCACACACAGAAGTCAGCAAGGAGCTGGGCACACCTATCTGCAAGAGAATTTGTCTCTTACTGTTTGTCCCTGCTTAGTATTTTCTAAGAGCTGCAAGTCCACTAACTAATGGCTGCCAGCTGTGTCTCTGCCCCCTTTTCTCTCATCTGCACTTTGGGATCCATCAACACCAAGAAAATGACTAGCTGGTGACAATCATCATTGGCAACAGCTTTTCTGATCCCCACTCAAATGGTGTTGAAAACTGTTTCCCGGCTCATGTAGAAGAGACAAACACATTTCTGGCCCATTACAGATTGATGCAGTCATCCTTTCCAGTAATGGGCTTGAAAATTGATTGGTCCCAATTACATCAGGAGTAAACACATCATTTCCAGCACCAGTTGGAAGTGGTCCAGGGGGACCTGCTGTTGACAACCACTGTCAGCAGAAAGTTAGTCAGTGAAAGGTGATTTTTCTAATGCAGATGCTGAACAGAGAGCCAGGAGAAGCTTCACTTTAACATGATCTGCATCAAAACAAACATCGACATTTTGGTATGTTATTGATGGTGTTTAAGCACATCAAGTTTAAGATCTGCTGATTTGGTCTTATCAGAAAGAATATAATTTTTTTGTGTGTGTGGATTGTGACTGCACAATATCCTGAACATGGGAAAAAAGCTTATTCCTAAGACAATATAGACTTCTTAAATATTTAAATTCAGATGGCCCGTGAAACATTATAAATTACCACTACTGACATCATATGGCCTGCAAAGAGAATACATATACATCAAAAGTTTGCCCAACTGTCAGCTAAGATTTTAAAAGCAGCACTCTTTCGTACATAAGCGTAAGAGAAAAGATACCAGGGCTCCAACCTCAGGTAGGAAGGCTCTGCAGAGGGACC